ATTTCTACAAGATATTGAACAATGGGAAAATTTTAGTTTTGATCAGAGAAATAACATGGAGCTCAATCCGAATCCTCTGCCATTTGTTGAACTGAAAACACTAGAGAAAAATTATACACAATAAACAGAACTTTCTCACATATATATCTGTATGTATGGTAAAATAAATCCTCAGGTGTTGTTTTATATAAACTATACTCCACCAGCACCACGATGGTTAATTAATTAAAGCATTATATATATGAATATGTAATAATTTTCACATTCTAAAGCGAAGGAATATCATGAAACAAAACGTCTTCAAGGAGGAGGTGGTCCGGCCAAATGGAAGCAGAGGATCCGGCAAAGCTTGAAGTGCTACACGCGTCGCCATAATTATTATTGCTATTTGAAGCGATCGGGTCGTTAATATTCAGGTGCGGCGGCGGCGGCGGCGACGGATCAGTGGAAGAAGAAGGCAGCTGCCATGGTGAATTAGGATCAGAATTAGCAGCATCATCACTCTGCCCACACACCATCTCCTTGGGAATATTATTCAACGGCACCGTTTCGTATCTGTTCGTAACATTAGTGGGAATTTCCAAGCTTGGCAAATGGGAAAATGGGAGTATTGAGTCAGTACCAAGTTGTTGGAGAGTGGTTGCTGCCGCAAGATTAATATTATTATTATTGCTATGACTTATTGGGTTTTCCAACAGAGGAGAAGACAGAGAGTTGATCAAATTCATGATTTCAATTTCAGAAGGATTGTTGTTCAAGGAAGCTGCGGGAGGCTGGAGGAGATATTGAAGGTACTGAAACTTAGCCATTTGAACGGCTTCTGCTTGCAGTCTCAATGCCTGTTCTTCCCACGAGGGATTCTCCATGAGCTCTTTGAGACTGGCCAGCGCTATGATGTGGGGCAAACTGGAGAATATGTCTGTTCGAGGACGGTGGGTCATCGGATCAAAACCCATCTGAATTAGCTTTTTCTTCAAGTGGGTGTTCCAGAAATTCTTGATTTCATTGTCTGTTCGTCCCGGTAGGTGGCTTGCAATTGCTGACCACCTTCAAAAATAATAAACTTATCATCATCACTACAAGTTATTAACTTAAAATATCTAAAGAGACATATAAGTGGTAAAAATTTTACTTGTTTCCAAGGACGGAATGGAGATTCAGAATGGTTTGCTCTTCTTCTTGAGAAAATTTGCCCCTCTTTATATCTGGCCTTAGGTAGTTCGTCCACCTCAATCTGCAGCTCTTCCCACATCTGTTCAGCCCTGCAATCCAATCAAATCAAATTTAAATTTAATACTCTCCTTATATTTCGATTCATGGTAAGTAAAAGAGGCGTAAAGGGGTTTGAAAATGGCGTACCGGCGAGTTTGGGGAGGGCTCTCCAGCTGCCATGGCCATGAGTTTGGATGTGTTTGACGAGTTTCTGATCTTCCTCAGGGGTCCAAGGGCCTTTTTTGAGACCACTCTCGTCACAACAAGGGCTTCTTCCCATTCCTAGCTATAAATGATTCAATCTCTTCTTCTCTTCTTTCTTAACTAAAGTTTTTGTTTTGGCTCAGCTGCCTCCTCCATTCCAACCATTAACCAAAGCCCTTCTATATATACACTCGTCGTTCCCACTTCCCCATCCCCATGGAAGGCGGCTGACGTGCTACTTCCCCATTTGCCACCAAAACTATTAAAATATTTTTCCTTCTCGTGTGAAACCCCAACAATGCCCTTATCTCCTCTTAAACAGGTCCTAAAGGAAAATAGTTAGTTCCTTCATGAAGACTAAATTTTATCTTCACCCGGCTCGTTATTTTTTCTAATAAAAATCTATGTTTTAATATTTATTTTAGTTGTGAAATATTTAATTATGGGGAGATCAAAAAACCAAATTTTTCTATATGTAAACAGTAGTTGATGGAGGGATTATTATTAATTAATTAATTAACTGTGAGAATGCAATTGAGTGGAAGTCAGCATCAGTGGGACAGATGGCACGTTGTGATTGGTGAGGGAGTGGAGGCATTCCATGCACGCAAACGAGAGGGGGCCATTCATGGGCGTCACCTCGTTTTTAATTTGCATGGCTACAGAAAGTTTGCCCTTTAAACTTTTACGTAAATAATATCTCTCCATGGCCCAACTTACGAATTTTTCAGGTTTATATTAAACAGAGTTCCACTAAAATTTGGGCATATAGCTAGCTAGCAAAACTAATAACAATAAATATTAAATAATTTAATTAAAGTACTAATAATTAATTATGTGTTTTAAAATGTTGACGACAAAATCGAAGTTATGTTATGAGAGAGAGTTGATTTCAATGTAGGGTATCTTCTGGGGCTCTTTTAATGTACTTGCATATTAATATTTTAAAAGTTGTTGGGTTACGGTAAAAAGTTTGACGATTTTTTGGGGGTCTTCAAATAATGTAATCGGTGTAAGAGTGGTAAATTCAATATTTGAGGTGAAGGTAAACCCGGAAGAAAATAAAAAGAAAAAAGTTGAAAAAGAAAAGGGTGAGGTGAGGAAATTATATTAATTTTATATTCTATACGAGCTTTTGTAGATCGGAACTCAACTAACTGCTACAGATACGGTGTAAGAATACTTTTTTGTTTTCCTTGTGATTTTGTTGGTGGCGATGAAAGTTGAAACGCGGTTGCTTATTGCTTTGTGTAAGAAAAGAGCCTACCTATCGATTGAGTTTAAAAGTAACCAATTACCGACCCATCAACCAGTAATTTATATTACAATCCAAGGTCAACCCTCTCTCTCTCTAGAATCTTCCCCAACTGTTACTTTACTCTCTCTCTCTCTCTCTAACAAGTTTAAAACTTCATAATTTTAAATGGCGGAAACATGTTGTACCATAAATTTCTTAGAATGGCTTATGGTTGTTTGGATTGAGCAATACTGTAACCAAATAAGAAGATTTGAACCAAGATCTCATAATAGATGATACCACAAAGTCAAAGATCCTTGCCGCTACACCATCTACTAGGAGACATGTCTCTTGATAAATCTCAATAAATCTTACATATCTTATTTTTGTTCTTCTCCCATTTTTTCTCTCTCTCCTACGTACTCTCACTTCTTCATTTTTCTCTCTTTTGCAATGCTTCACTATTTTTTATCTTTGTGTTTTTTAATTTTTTTATTTCAATTTTCAGAAAATCACAAATACCTCTTTTTTTCTTTCAATTCATTGTAACTTTTATATTTAAAAAATGTTGAGAAAAAAAGATCAACGAAAAAACAAATATTTTTTCTTTTAAGTTCTAACTTTCTATTGTATGTACCTTTAGACTATGAAAAACATATCAAGTTTGGTTTGTTGCAAGGAGAACATAAAGAAATTTTATTTTTTTTTTGTAACAATGGAAAAAAAAATTTCTTGAAACATCAAATATGTAGTAGTATTGAACCGATACAGTAAAATTTCCTCAAAGAAAAAAAAATTTGAATAAAAAAATACAAATATAAAAGAAAAAAATGAAAGGGAGTTATTGGAGAAGAGAGAAGATGGAGATGAGATGTTATTGGGAGAGAGAAAAAGAGGAAGACTAAAAATATGAGATATCGAGATTTAATAAAATAATTAAAACAAAAAAACAACTTATTAGATCACATGGATGTGTTCAAGTTTTTTCCTTTAAGTCTTGATCGTAATTTTAGTATTATTATAGACTATACTAGATCAAGACCACCCGGACTTGAAAATAAGAGGTATGATTTACATATGGGTTCAATGGCAAATGCTTCGACGAAAATCTACACACACAAAAGATCTGCACACTTGTATAGTGCTAAGCCCAACACACAATCTAATGTTTAAATCGGACAAAGATTTCAATTGAAAGTAGTCAAGAGTATGGAATATGCAACTACGATAATTACACCTATAATAATAAAGAAAATTATGTCATATTAAATTGTTATTAAACTCAAAGAGCTTAATTTAAGTTAATAATAAGGGAATATTTAATATATCTTTATTAAAAGGAGCTCCATAAAGAAGTGATGTGGACAGATTTTGACGAATGAGGATGCTGGTTAGAGAAAAGTTGGTGATCAAGCGAACAAATCTAAAGTTTTGGAAATCTATTTTGATAACCTAAAAGACGTATGGATTTCTTGAACACCCAAGTTAAATCCATGGCGTCAATGACATTTGTTGATCTTTTCGTCCTTTTCTTCCCTGTCCTCAATCACTATGGAATATGCAAATCCTTTCTTCTTCTTCTTCATCTACACACTCTAAATAACACAATTATTTAACCTCGTATTTGTTCTTCTCCATGAATTTGATGTTCATTTTTCAAATATATTACAAAAATTGAACAATTTATTTATACGATTTAGCAAAAATTCTCCACACTTTAATCCTAATTTTCATTTCTAAGTTAACTTATAACAGTAGAATGACAATACAATTGATGACAGAACACCCTATCAATTTAGGGTTTACAAAATTAATTAATGGGGGTCAAAGAGAAGGAAAGAAGAGGGGACGAGACCCAATTTAATTATATATTTTAGCTCGAGTCCAACTCCCTGACCTCATTTTCTTGTCGGCACAGAATTTACTTTTGAAAGAAAACCAAATAGTTTCTCAAATTTTAGATTTTCGGGATCCAAAGAGCAAGAAATTAAAAACGATGACCCAAGTTGATTATTTCCTTAATCCTTATATTTCTAAAACACCTTTTCTCTTTTACAGAATTTAAACAAAGATTTTTTTTTTCCGAGAATTAATGCCGCCTGGTTTAGCACTTTAAATCCCTATAATTAGAACTTGTCTGAACTGAACAACACAGTAATCAGCACACGACTGGTTCGACCCGTAGCCATAGATTTATACATCAAAATCATAAACCAAACATCAAATTTTTTTCCTCGTACATAAGCTTTTGCTTCTTCCAGTAGGGTTTCTTGTCGGGTGGACCATGAAAGTGCACCATATATTTAATTTGTGTGTTTAAAGAAAAAATCAAGTTGGTCATAACTGCTGAAACAGTGAAGAGTTTTAAGAGGAGAAATAGAGAGAGGAAAGTCATAGTGTCAGCTAAACAACTGATTTGCTTGCTGGGATAAGTTTCTACCCAATACATCTAAATTTGGACTTTGGTTGTCTCTCCATCCACGTGTATCATTTTTTACCTTTCTATTTCCATGCAAAACTAAAATCGAAACCCATATATATTATATTCCATTGGTCCTCTTTTTTCTTTTAATTATATTTTAATCAGCTAGACGAATATTTTATACATTTTTAATTAACTTTTTTATTCCTTTTTTTTTCTTCTGGTTTCGTGTAAGGAAGGTTAAATGAAAGTAATTTTAAGTGTTGATTTGGTTAACTTTTCCACATAAAACTACACATTAAATTGGTATATGCAGCCTCTCTTCGGATAATATATTTTAGTCAACTTTTTAGTGGGACAAACAGTCAAATTTCTTAAAATAAGTAGTTGGATACGTAAAGAGAATGCAAACAAAATTTCACATTGACTAGGGAAGAATATGATCTATGRTATATAAGATAATTATCTCTATTGATATGGGATCTTTTGTGTGAAATAAAAAACAAAGCCGTGAAGGTTATACATAAAACAGACAATATTATATTATTGTGGAGATACTTAGATACTCGTACCATTGGCARGACAATAAGCTACTAATTAATATTCGAGGTATGGAATTAGTTTGTAAAAAGATCTTGAACTTGTCACTCTAAGGATTTGAATATATATCATTTCCGGAGATAAATTGAAAAATACTTTTAGCATAAAAAAAGTTATAATTTAAGAATTTATTTATGTTTTGTGAGAGAGAGACATTTTCATATTTTGAAGATGAAAGCACTAAATCGATCATAAGTAGAGAAAATAAAAAATAATTATATAAAATCTTGAAATGGGTTTTAATTTCTTTTATTAAATATTGGTACTTTTAAGTCCCAATTTTATGTTCTAATTGTCTAGATTTAAAAAAATATTTTGAAATTTTTTTTTAAATATAATTGGGATGAGAGAGGCTGGTACTCTTCAACTATGAAACCTACCCAACTGCATCACCACCCCAATTAAAAAATATTTTGAAATATTAGTCAAATTTCAAGGATGAAAATGAGATTTTTGAAAGTAAAATTTTTTTAGTTTAAATTTGTTATGACATTATAAAATTTTTTTAGAGACCAGACCGTAGAATACAAAACTTGTTCGGAAATAGATTAATTTTTTTTGACAGTTGTAATAAAAAAAATAAAGTACCCTTACTTTGTAATCTAATAAACTTTCCAACAAAAAAAACTTACATGTTAGATGACTGATCATACATGTTTTACTATTACCCACCAATGAAAATTTGACAACTTTTCATTTAGAAAAATAAAATAGAATAAATATCTCATTTTCTGCATTTATCTCTCCTACCGTTAAAAATTTTAACGGTGGTTAATAAAATTAAAAATATATCAACCCCCAAATATTGTTTCCTACAAACATGTCCTGCAACAAAAAAAAAAGGACTGACATTTTTCTAATTAAGCTGTAATTTTATTTTCCGACCTATTTTGAAGAATAATTTCCAAACCATTATTCAAAAATATTAAGATCATATTATTTTGCATTTGAAAACTTAATCATGATCATTATCAATTCAACCAAGTGGGAGAGACAACATAATTAGCTAAATAATGACACAAGTGTTAGACTTCTTGTATTAGGTTAAGGGTGAAGGAAAAAAACACAGCCATTTTGTCGTTGATTTTGATTTGAAATTCTAAATGTTATAACTAAAACAAATGCGAAAATTTCTTACTTTTTATTTAAGTATCTAATTAATCATAATGACAGTCAATTATACTGTAAATAATGTCATCGTTACAGGCTGCTGCTCAAAATTAAAGCAAGAATTCAAAGATTCACTGCCAAATACTCAAACCCTAGCTAATTCTACAAAAACCAACACACCAAACTTTCAACCCTATTAATTAATTATATGTTATTCAATGTTTTTAGTCCAACAACCCTAAACGTATCATTTAAAATTGGAAAAAAAAAAAAACCTACTGGGATTCCCCTCATTATAATAACATGCAATACACTCTAATCTATGTTTCAAATTAAATATAATTATCAAGTATATAATTGGTTTCAACTTTCATCCCACGTGATAGTCTACTAAAAGTTTTATTAAAAAATGTTAAATCATATACTTCAGAGTTTTTCCTACTGAATCAAGGTTGACCAATGTATTTGTTGGAAATTTATTAGCATATACACTCTAATCTATGGAAAATATCAACATGTATTCTAATTTATTAGCATAAATTTTTAGATCTGTTGGTTTAAGTTTTTAACCACAACAATTTTACCTTAATTCACATTAATACCTCGTGTATCAAATTTCATATTTACAAAAACAAGATTATGATCCTTTTGCAAACCTGACAAATTTTTAAAATTTTTTCACGTGTCTATTTACATTTTTACATCATCTCTTTTTACTCTTTTATGTGGTTGATAGACACTAGTTAGATTAATAGACATTTATCACGGATAAACCTTATTGATATAAACTAGTGATAGTTGTCAATCACTCATTGATTTTTTATATTTTTTGTTAGTGAAGTTGGGCNTATTGTTGTGGATGTGCAATTAATCCACCATTTAGTAATGTTTAGTTATATTATTTTAATTAGCCGTTAAAGGAAAGAAAAAAAAAAGAAACGTAAAGGTATTGTGAAAATATAATATAAAACTAGGTCCTAAAATGTTTGAAAAATGAGAGCAATGGTGATGAAAGGAGCTTCCTTTTTACACCTCAGTTTTGTTTAACAAAAGAGAGTGAAAATTTTCTCAACCGTTATGCCAACACAATGGGATTAGGAATGGAAATATAATCATCATTGAATTTATGTAGAAGCAATCCTCCACAAATTAAAAAGAATAATTACTATTTTTAATCAAACTGATTAAGGGAAATTAATTAGATTTCTGTTGAATCCTTCTAGATTAAATTGTCTAACTGCCATCGGAAATGACATCACCTAAATTTGCAATGCAACGACACTGAAGAAACTGTGTGAATTTTGACATTATATATATTACTTATATGTCATTGTATTTATTTGACTTTCTTGCAAATTCTTGTATTCATATATCTTTTTAAGGTTAAATTATAATTAAATTCAGTACGTATAGTCTGATGTTTTTTTTTTCTTTTTAGTATTTAGTTTTTTAAAATTTAAAAATYTGTAACTATTCCTTACTTTAGGTTGTGCTGTATTTTATTTGTAATGTTGTTATTAGGACGTGCTCGTAAAAGAATTGAGTATTCTATTTATAGAGTAAAAATTTGCTTTTGAATTTTTAAAAAATATATCTTCAATAAAGATTATATTCAAATCAAAATTAGAAACATGAAGTGGTTAATATATCAATGATTATTTAAAAATGATGGATATTGATTAGTTGAGTATGTATATCATATGAAAAAACAATACAGCCTTCTTTATATGGCATTGGTCAAGTTTGATACCACGTCATTATGTGAATTTGGAAGTCTATTCCATAAATACTCATCAATTTAAATACTTTATAAACTTTGTCTAAAAAAAAAAGTAAATAAATACTTTATAAACTTGTTTCAATTATTCCAAACACAGTCGTCACTCATTAATCAAATAAATGAGTATGATAATACCTACACAAAAGTTCTCACAAATTATGAAAAAGTCACGCTTTTACTGAAAAAGAAAAAGGAAAAAAAGATAATTAAACATGTAACTCGTGTAATTGCAAGGCACGCCCCCACTTTTGGAAGACTTCTCATAAAAACTACCTGCAAGGACTTATTTAGCCAAGAGTTCTCCTTTATCATCAATTGAATCATTGTCTGAGAAGCTCTTGTCTTACCGACTAACTAATCAGACACGAGCGAGCTCTTTACATGATCGGAGAATGGTAACTAAAGGGCACGTTTTATTCTAAAGAAAAAAGTTGCAGAGAAAATAAATTGTAGTGAAAAATTGGCAGATTAAAAGAGCAATTTAAAAGAGAAGAGGGGAGGGAAAAAAAGGAAAAGTTGGTGGAGTTTGGCTCTGTTTGTGTTGCGGCTGTGGATAGGATACATAATAAAATGAGTAGTGCAAATTGGTAATACAAATAATCGTAATTCCATATACCATTTGAACTGTTTTATTTTATTGACATTCTAATTAACATTGTATCACTCCATTCGAACTTGGAACTCTTTTATGTGGGCACTGTTTTGAAAAATATCACCAGTGCCTCAGCCGCCCCAAACTGAAAAAGCAAGATAAAATGACAAATTAAAATGCTATTTTCATGGCCTGTGGAAGCTTTGCTCAGAACCACTGCTAAGGCCAAACTCAAATGATCATAGATCTTCACGAAGATTCTACTTCAAGGACTATCTTCATGAACTCGTACACAAGATAGCTTATTGCAGCTGATGGTAAAACCTAAAGCAAGGAAACAAAATATTATAAGATTAGATTATAAGATTAAGGCCATAAAATGACAATGATCACGAGAATCAATGGACAACCGATGTATTAATGCTAAACTGAACAAGTGATGGGATCAAAGGAATGTGATAGAAGGGTAAATGCTCAGAAGCAAATCCTATATTTCTCTTCTAGGGAAATTGTTATTCACAAGCCAAGAACAAAAGATGTAAAGAGTGTCTCGAAGAAAAGAACTGAAAGCAACATTCTAATATTTACGGGAAGCGGTTATTGCAGGACTTAATTGCATCTCTTTCACAGACGAAGGACACCATTTTAGAAACATGCATAGAAAGCTAGGAGTTSCTCATAGTTATCAAGGTCAAGTCCTAAAATCAACTCATTTAAGCTAGTTCATCAAATAATATAATAAGGGGCCTTAGAAGACAATCTGATGCCCTCAAATACAGATATGATAGCTTAAACTGGTGCAAACTTGAATGGAAGGGTCAGAAATTCATGCATCTAATGTACATTTCGTAATGGTCGACAGAGTCGTGACCATTGGTAGTTCAGCCATAATGCAATGGAATGTTAGATGCAAATATTCACAGTTCACAGCTGGTAATTAATACTTAGTTCAGGATGCATTTGAGACACCATATTCGTATATAATCTACCAGAGCTATTATTGTATCTAAAGGCATCTAATTGCACAGAGTACTTCCAAGGGAAAAAGGGAGTTGTTTGTGAGAAATCATTGGCGCACCTGTAATAAGCTAGGAATTAAGCCTGCATAAAGAGCAGGGACACCCCCTTGGTTAACAATCTTGACACAAGTCGCAACTGCACTCAGCTTTGTTTCCCTAACTTGCATTTGGAGCTGCCTCCTCACAACTTCAAATGGATATGTGGCAGCTTCAGCACATGCCCCTGCTATGGCTCCATACAGTAGCGTTCTCATCGTACCTAATTCTAGTTGTTCCAAAGCATTCAACTCCTGACCACCTTCTTTCATATTTTGGATTCTTTTCCTTCCTTCTGGTGAATTTAGGTAAGCTGATTTTAGTATATCATAAACACCATAAAAAACTGCACCTGATGGTGCCATGCTTATAATTGAGGGTACTAAACCCTTGTAGAGAGAAAAGAAGCCTTCAGTTTGGATCATGTGGCGGAAGACACCAATGACACCACCCAAGGCTTCCCCGCCTGGTGCAACCATCTTAGTCCGGATCTGCCAGAACAAAGGCCATGAAGATGTTAGGCCTCCAATGGTTAAAGTATACAAGTATACACCACAAAGGGCAAAAAGGAAAATACTACCCCCACGAGTTAGCTACAAAGAGGGTGGTTTTATGCGCTATAATAGAAAGTAATAGATTTGTTTTCGGTGTCTTCTGATTAGTGTGAGTGACGTAGTGAAAGGGAGAGTAGTTAKCCTCTCAAATTTGCTAACAATCTGTATTATGTAGTTTGAATTATCGTAACTACCCTTTGGCGTTAATATCAATAATCAATACAGATAACTAACAATTTGATACCAGGACGTGTAACGATCAAAACAACGGATATGCATAGCACGAGCACAACTTACAAAACTCTGTTATGAAGATGCAAAAGCTTCAATCTATGAAATGTAACAATCTGCAGAAAGGAAAACTGAAGGTCAAATTACTACACAAGCAATTGCCACTTACAGTGTCCATAGGAATGCATAGCACGGTTGCAGTAATCCCGGCAGCAGCACCGGCAAGAAACCGCTCAAAATTAGTGGTTTCCTCATTCCCAGACCACCTCATCAACTGATTTCTGTACGTATCATAAGCATAGAAATTGATAGCCTTAAAAGGAGCAGTGCGAAGAATGTTGACAAAATTTCCTTTCCAAAAACCTTTCAGACCTTGAGAAGCTGCTATGGTCTTGATTAGTTCAATAAGATTTTTCTGCTCACCACGAACTATGTACTCCAGCTTCAATCTCTCAAGAGGGGCAACAAAAGTTCTATCATAAAGCAAAGACACCATGAATGAACATGCCATGCAACCAAATGAAATGATATTATAACCAGAGTCCAGACAACAACCTTCGTACAAGAACTATGGGAAAAGGTGGCAATAATAAGATCCTGAGACAGGGCAGAGTAGCTTGCATTTGCATACCGACCCGATTGAAACAGTAAAAATACGTATTCATAGATATGCAAAATGTTGGAGACGTAAAAAAAAGTTACGGGGAATCTCCTCATGACGGCCCAATCAATGTTTTTTGGTTCTCAGCAAATGGCATTTAGTCGAATTAGTTACATTCTGGAAACAGTGATTTCCTAATAAATCATTGAGTTTGAAATGTTGAAACGTTACGCTATTGATTTCATACCTGAAAACCAAATTGGTAAAGAATGAGAAATTGGGAGGCAAACCTTGAGACCATAGCAGCGACAGCTCCGGCCCAGAGATGCTTGGTCGTATTCATAGCACCAGATCCTCCCAATACAGCTTTCTGATCCCTCTCTTCTTCCTCCTCGTCATGCTGGATAGCCTTCTCCACCGAACCTTTATTCCCATTTTGTCCCAAATATTCGTCCGAGTCCTGGATATATTCTCCATTCTCTCCACTCCCATTTGCAGACAAGCTCACTGATAAAAATCCGCACCCGCCCCCATCGGAAATTCCCCTTCCTCGCCGACACAGGATTTGAAAGTTGAGAGCCTTGCGACGACTGTGAGAAGGCGAAAATGAAGCCGACCCAGAAGAGCATTTAGAAGAGATTAGCGAAATGAAGGAAGGAGGAAGGTTGTCCTCAAGAAACAAGCCTCCGAGGAAGATCGCATCAGATGGGTCGGATTTGATCAAGTGGGTGAACCAACACTGGTGCTTTCCCTGCATTGCAGAGGGTTAGGTGAGATCGAAACGAGGGTTAATGGGATTGAAAACAGTGGCAAGGACTTGAGAATCGATGGGTTCAAGAACATTAGGAAGAAGAGTTGGGATTTTAAGAAGAGAGATGAAAGAAGTGGAGGTTGAGCGGAGAAAGAAAAGCTTGAACAAGACGAGAGAATGGAATAGAAAACGAGAAAATTGAGGGGAAGATGGTGACATTAGGAATTTATAGCTGCTGATGCCATTTTCTTGTGCTGCGGAAGACCGCACTAAGCTTTCATCGAGTCGAAGGTGGTTTCTGTGTTGGCGTTCGTCTGTGCTGTCCACTTTTTTGTTATGGTCATGGGGTGGATGCTCCACATATACCCTAGTGTTAAACAAAGGGATTTTTCCTCGAGAAAGGAAAATATTGTCCTTTTTTTTTTACAACAAATAACACAGAGATAAAGAAAATGAATCGACCATTAAGCCAAGTTCATATTATCTAATGAAGATTGTCTTTAACAAGATTAAAGGTTTCATTTTTATATTTAAAAAAAAAAGAATCGCCTTCAACTATATCTTAGTGAAAAAAATTACACTATTTGCAACTAATATCCAAAGAATTTGATATTAGTTCAAACTAATACAAATTCCTAAAATAATATGATATATCAAATAATAGTGTGATCTTATTATATATGATTGGAGCATATCAAAATCAAAATTATAAAGATATCCACCAAATATGAAAACAAAACATATTTTTGTTCGGGTGTATGAGAATTTGACATTCAATCAACCAAACTCTTTGCTGTCACAATAGCTAAGCTATATAACATTTCTACATTTAAAAGCTAGCTCATGCTTACCTTGTTTTTGTTTTCTTCAATGATGCTAACTATAAGTGGATAATTTTTCTGTCTTTTAGGAGTGAAAATGAAGTTTTCTTGACAATAATGAAGAAATGTTTATTTTTTCTGAAGTTCTTTGTATATTGGATTGATAAGGTTGAGAAGGGATGGAGGTTTTCAATATTTTAAAATGTCACTTTCAAGCACACGCAGTTCACTATAATTTATTCACCACATCGCTACAGAGAACAAAATTATGGGTTTTGTATGAATCTGGCTGTAGCTTCCTACCATCTTTTTTGTCCATTAGCTTGGCTAGTGGCTTGGGAGCATCTGGGATATAAGATTGGTCATGGGGCTGTGACAGCAGCATCTATGCCCTTCAAATTTTACCCATTAAACGACCCTAATTTTTTCTGATCAACCACGACATGAACCAATGCGAGCTGCCTCTGACCGACCAGATTTAAGTTTGATGATTATGTTCTAATCATTGACTAAAATATTCCTCCATATTTTCATGATATTGATATAAAGAGGACAATCGATATTATTTTGTAAAATCATAGAAATGTTGACAAGAAAAATCCAAAATGTATTACAAATTTTGACAGATGTGTCCTCGATGGGGAATGTAAAGATTTAAATCTTCATTTATTAATTTGATTTTTTTTAATGACGGAATTATTATTATTATTATTATTTTAAAGGATTATTATTATTATTTGAGAAAGAGAATTTGAATTAGTTTATTGATTTCTATAATTTCTTTAAAATGTCTACCGAACATTGACATTTCTATCCATATCAATAAATCCTCCCTAGGAGAAGCAACTTGTTCGTGGAATAAGATCCCTTCTTCAATTCCAAAAGCTCCTGATATCATTCATATTTTGTCAGTCTTTTTCCCTACTCAGTTATTATGCTACTGTTATAGAATTTTTTTAGTATGGAAAAAGTACATAAATTCGGCATCGAATACAGTAGGTGGTGATTCAATGGATTGTTGTCACAACAGCTGAACATTTGAAACGTGAACAGCCTAGCCAAAGAGAATTCTTCTGAATAATATTGAAAATTATAAACAATGGAACAGTTTAAAGTACTCTGAAATTAGATATAGTTGGTCAACTTGTAGAAACCCATCACAAATCCAAAATGCAAATCTCAACATGTGGGAGGACAAAATGATGCTTGATTTGTTCTGCGAGAACGCAAAAAGAATCTAATGGCATACAATATTACAAATATTATATCGTTAGAAAATTTCGAATGTCAATTTTGTTGAACTAACTCACCCGCGAATGATTGCGTTTACTATTTCAATTCTGCAGCATTTTTTATGTATTGAACTTACATATCCTCTAGCATGCACAACCTCCTCCTTGCTGTTCCGCCTGGGATGAATTCACTGCAGGCTTCAAATTTACGTCAACCATGTCCTCCTGCCTTGTAGAAGACAGAGTTTCCATCCCCGGCAGCGCTGCAGCAATCTTACGAAAGAGAGGCTGCAAGATTTGTTTCAAGTCAAAACTACATCCATAAACCAACCAAAAAGGAGCAACTAATGCAAATTTAGCGAGGATGCGTAGTTTCCTGCTTTCACATTTCTAATTCAAATATGTGTTCTTTGGAGAATGCTCCCTGTTTGTATTATAGAGAACAAAAAGGTACAGGCTGGACTTTGGATTTTTAATCTATTGTACTTTTATGTTTCAGAAATCATGGGATAACATTACCTTGATGTTGAATCCAGCTTTGGCACTAGTTTCTATAAACATGACTCCAAACTCACGAGATTTGGCATCACCTTCTTCGATTGAAACTTGCCTGATTTAGTCACGAAGACAGTCGAAGGGCAATAAGAATTGTCAGATTATATATTGAATACAAAATATAGTGTACAAAATTTGGAGATAAAATACTGCAATAAAAGGCAAATAACAACAAAGATCAGCTCAAATTCCATCTTATCATCGCATACAAAAGTGTGCACAGAACTCATGCTCCTAATGCAGCCTCAAAGAAGTTTAGACTCAACCACCCTGCAGTGTACTAAGATATTCACATACAATACCGATCCTAATATATATCTAAAAATTATAGGAACAGTTAATTTCTCACTTTTTGTTTAACAATGTCAATTTTAAGTTACAGAAGTTCGTTCCCTCACCTTTTCTAAAATTATAGGAACAGTTCATTTCTCACTTTTTGTTTAACAATATCAATTTTAAGTTACAGAAGTTCATTCCCCTCACCTTTTCTCAACAAGATCAGTTTTGTTCCCAACAAGAACAATTAGCACATCACTGCCCCGTTCCGTTCGTACCTCCTCAATCCACTTATTAGTGTTCAAGAATGATTGTCTATCTGCATAATAACGTTTTAAACCAAAGTTATTAGTATATCAACTACATCTACCTAGGATGCATCACACAATAAACGGACAGATAACAGAGAGAGAGTACTAACTAGATACATCATAGACTACTACTGCGACAGAAGAATCTCTTATGTAACTTGGAATGAGACTTCTAAATCTTTCTTGTCCAGCAGTATCCCTGTGGAACTAGAGGCATTAGATTTTCAGAAAAAGAAAATCATATGCATATCAATTAACACATAAATGTCGTGTTTGCATATTTATATTGACAAGTAATGTGCAGACTCAGCTTTCTCCCGACAAGTTTATGCAGCAGACTTCATGTTTTATAATTACTATAAACTTTCTCTCCAAGCCAGTGCATGAAAAAAGAGAAAAAACTGAAGCTGTCCCATCTGTGTTTCTCACAATTCCATAAGATCTATTTCTACGGATGTATGCTTCGAGTTGAAAAGAATCAGAAATCTACGTCATGTTGAAAAGAACCAGAATTGTAACTTTAACAGTCAGGATGCTGAAACGAAAACTTATAGGCAATACAATCTTCACTAAATGATCAAAAAAGAAACAAAGACATCATACCAAAGCTGCAATCGAATTGTTCGATCTTCAAGGTACATTGTTTTGGACAAGAAGTCAATTCCAATTGTAGCCTGCATTAAAATTCATGTCAGCATGAAAAAAGGAGGTCCACAAGCCGAGTAAGGATGAAGGTTACTGACGGTGCATGCTAACCTACTGATCACACATTTTGGTCATTCCGAGAGAATTGAGATCTTAGGCGTTTCAAACTACTTAGCCCTGAAATTCATTTTCTTGTTAAGGTGTCAACCATTTGCTCAGCTCTCTCTCTCTCTCTCTCTACAAAATTTAGTGAACGCTAGATAATCTGATAGTGCATAGAATCAACCCTATTAGAAGCAATTTTCCCTTCGTTTTCCTTGTTCTACACAGGTTTTTATACAGATAAACAATGAAACTTTTCCATTGACGAAGAAAGAATACTCTGCACCACCAGATGTGGCTAAATCAAATACTAGTCTTAATCGTTCAATAGTTCTGATAAATAGAAAAAGGATTTATCACTGTAAAGAAATATGCGAGTCGTCAAAAAAGACGTTGACGAAACTCATAAATATAACCGACTACGTTTTCCATGGTGGCCACCTATATAAACACGATTAGAAACAACGCCACATGATCTAGATCCAAATGAATTCCTATAAATTTCTATCCGGATTCAGATATACATGGAAACAGAGATGCGCCAAAACAATCATTTCCACAGGAACACTCCTAATCTAATAGAAATTCCACATCAAAACAGGCGAGAAAAAAAAACGAAGAAAATAAACGCAAGGCAATTAGATAGAGGACCTGATAGGTGGTATCAAACTTGTCGTACATGAAGCGGGTGATAATGCTGGTTTTGCCAACCGATTGATCGCCGAGGAAGACGAGCTTGTACTTGGCGAGAGGAGAAACCGTCGCCATCAAGGCTATACGAGTCTAGCGATGATGAATATTCAATGGGAGATGGCGCAAGAAAATAGATCGAAACCTCAGAAAAGGAAAATGAACGGCGAAAGAAAAATCAGGATTGGGTATCGCCTACAGGTTTTTAAAAGTTCGTTTTCTCTCCGGGTGCCGAACCTGCACCTGCACGCAGGAGAAACCGCCAACGATGACGAAGACCCGAAAGTCAAATGTTTTAAAGTTGAAGCAAGTTACGTTTTTATCCTCCTTGCTTTGCACTCCCTCGACGCGCCAAACTTGATCCTCATCCTTCCCTTTCGGCCTCGGTCCGTTGAGCATTCCTTGCCATGCAATTTCCCAAACCAATGACAATAGTAATACAAATAAATTTGTTACTCCAACCTTTTCTTCTACTTCTACAATTTAAACATTCTATTAGGTCAAATTTAATGGTTATTGGGAGTTAATTCAATAATTTTTATTATATTTTTTTAATACTATAAATGTGGGGAGGGATTTGAACATTCAATCTCACAAAAAGTAGATCTATAATTTTTCTTTTTTGATAAATTATATGACCTATAATGTTGGGCACTTTTATTAATAAATAATATGACCCCACATTGCATTTGCTCAGATGGCGTTACCCGCACTATTTGGTTCTCTCACGTCCACTTTGAGAGTTTCAAATGCCTAATGTGTTTAATACCTTAATTACATTTTGAGAGTTTCAAAGTTTCTATTTTATTTCCCTCAAAATTTAAAGAATATATAGGTTTCTGCAAGTCGTAACATCCCTTATTTCTCGTCTGTTACTTAAAAAAAAAAAAAAAAATCAGAATTACACATTTCTTAACTCTTCGTTTTGTTTCTAATTTTCCAAAACATGTAGAAAATATATTTTTATGTTGTAAAAAAAATTAAAATGACATTGTTTTTAAATTTCTGTGGCTGTTATTTGTATGTTGCTAAAACGTAAAGGCAATCTTCACTTCTATAATCCTCACCCAGACAGAAGAATATGAAATGTTCATATACGTCATGATATCAGCTCGTCACAAGTCCAGATACAAACATCTATGAATTTAAATGTAATCAAGTATTGTACTTCTTAAGTACAATTATCAATCAGATGACAAAAATATGAAAATAATGCTATTCCTGTAGCTTCAACTCTATGATCCATCTACGAATTCCAACCTTGTGTTGGACTGATAAAGTCTCTTGCTCGGTTATATAAAGTCAGAGCCTATGATTCCTTCTTTTTAACTCTGTAGGGGTACTTCTGATATATAGAAATGCTACTGGCCACGAGGGGAAGAGCCACAATGCAAAATAATGAAGGCGGTTTGCCTTCAAATATGAACTGCAGCAATGCTGTCACGATAAGTGCTGACACAATGACGAATCCCTGAAACCATGACGAAGTTTCCCCGAGATAAGTTTACATTAAAAGAAAAATTGTATTAGCATCTCACCATCAAGTTAAATTGAAATATTTTTTTGGCCCATTGTCTAACATTCAGTTTTTGTGTATATATGTAAGTATCCAGGCCTAGCACACACTTAACTAATCTCATGGGATGATAACGTTTGAAAATTCATAAGATTTTAATATTCTATATGAGTGGGTGGTCACTATGAGGTTTGAACTCAATCTTTTTACTTTTCTTTCACATGCCCAATACTTGGGTGATTGTCCATTTTGCCTAATGCTGAAGGAAAAGAAGAAAGGGGGAAGGAAAAAAAGAGGAATGYTTTTTTTGCTCGCAGCAGCATCATGCAAGTTATAGACCCTAATTAACATTATCTTGAGTGAAAACCTAGTCAATCAAAAAAAGCTTATTTCGAACTTGGAGGAAGAGAGAAATTATGCAGCATGAATTTAGAGCATGCTCATGGTGAGTTTGAACTGTGTTAAGGAGGTTCGAATCCTTGGAGATTATGTTAAAAATCAATCTTAAGGGTTAAAAAGACCAACGTGAAACTTGCCTTTCGAACACCACCAGCCCTACTTGTAACTATGCCAACAAGGATTCCACCAAGAGCATTGAATAAGACTGGAATCTGAAACAAAATGACAAAAAATAAAACTGTAAACTATAGTAGATCAAAATGATACAGCATGGCCTTGCGCAAGGATGACATGCACAAAAACGTGGTAGATCAAAACGAGTCATTGAAATTAACTAATCAGAAATGGTCTCCAACTCAAAGAAGACCTCATATATGACAGTGAGATATATAATTACCATAGTGAGAGGAGTCCAACCATAGAAAAACCCATGCTGTCTGATAGCTTCTCCATCAGGAGACTTATATGTACTAGCAAATAAGCACAGAATTCCAACTATRGACATTTCTACAGTCATCAAGTATGATGAGTGTTTCTTAACCTGCGATAGAAGGAAAACACTTCATTAGACAAGAGCAAACACATAAGAACAACATTGTTTCTTGGAGGTTGATATCTAAATAAACAAAAAGATCCCCACAAACCTGCGAAGCCCATTGACACAATGCGGAAGCCAAACCGGAGAGCACAGAAGCAACCAAGACAGGAATAATCCCATGAAATAAAATTCGATCAGGATTGCCATCACCAGGACCCTTACTAGATCCTTCACCTATACTTAGAAGAACAGCAGCAACAATCAGCAAAAATAGAGCCCCAATTTGCTGAACGGACTGCCTCTGCCTATACATAAAACCCAAATGAGTAAGATGTCAAATAGTTTCTGATCTGAAGCTTAAATCAAAAGTGGTTACAGTACATCACTAGATGAACTGCACCCAGTCACAAATGGAGATGGGAAAATCTAGGACATGCATTGCCTCAAAAATCATTGGCCACTGTCATAGCAGATCTTATGGAACAACAGATCCCCTCCCTCCAAAACAACAACATCGAAGGAGGGGAAATATACATATTGCAACAAAAGAAAATTTTAAGGTAGCAAAGAAGTCTTTCATAGTACAGCATATAACAATTAATCATCAGTCAATTTTATCAATAAATAAATTTCCAACTATGGTAATGAAAGCCTGAAGAAACATGATGTTCTATTATGATTTATGAAAAGGACAGAAGAAGCATTTGGGACATACCTGAGTAACAAATACGTACATACAGCAGTAAAGAGTATTTTTGTTTGGTTCAGCATTGAGAAAGTTAGAGAATCAAGATTCTTGTAAGCTATCTGCAGCAGACTATTTTGTAATGCATAAATAATTGCAGGAAGTCCTGAAGCAGTCAATGCACCAACGACAGTCCACTCACTAAAAGTTTTCTTTAAACTACCTTCTTTGGCCATGAAACTCAGGGCACATATGACCTGCAAAACATATAAAAATGCACTAAGATATTAGTGCAAAAAGTAGACCCTCTTCATAAAATAAGCAAAAATAATATTACAGAAATGGAAAAGAAATATGTCGTACAGTAATACCTTAACTATCTCACAAGTTAAGACGGATGAAGTCACAATAACTTCTCGTCTGCAGGGAGATTCATATGAGTTAACATAATGCACATGCCAGAAGTCATTACCATTATATGACAGAAAAAAAAACCAAGATAAATTCAGATCATACAAAGAAAGGGGGGTGCAAGTTGCATACAACAGTTAACAATTGGCAATATGAATTCATGAAAATAAGTCAAAATTCATAATTTTATGGTGGAAATGAAGGACTAAGATGATACCACTGTAGGAACAGAATCCTAAGCATCAGAAAGTAGAAACAAATATCGCGTAGTTTAGAAATGAGGCAACCATGGATAACACAGTGCACGGCTGGAAAGAAAAGTATAATTTGGTCAGAGTTACACATATGTACACCACAATAGCAGCAAAGCTACAAGCTCATATTGGAATCCCAAATAACTTCAGGAGGCGAGGACATGATGCATCCTCCCTGGACCCTGTACGCCTACCAAACACGTGAAATATTTTAACATAATCCCAACGCTTATCCAATCGACATTAATATGGAATATATCCATGGCGAATCCTGCAATGCGATGAGTAGCTCCAGAAGCCAAAAACACGCGCAGAACTAATAATTTGAGTCACCCCAACTTGAATCCTCATAACCAATCTATACACAACACCAATTCCCAATTCATTTAACAGCGTCCTCGATAGTAAATCATTTTGCTCGCACACCTTGGCAACAGGTTTCATAGTGAAAAATACCGCCAACAGAAATTGTAAAAACTATCCATCATAACAGCGAGTCTCAAATTCAACACGTGTTGCTTGTCCGACGAGCGAATACATAAAACACATAAACACGTGAATTTCAAATGCTAAGAACCATTAGGGGTTGAGTTCAAATTCAGACAGATTGTGCAAATTCCAGATAAATCTTTTCTCATTCATCCTTCTCCAGAACCGATGTTAATTCAAACAAGTACAAAGATTGAAAGGACAGAAAAAAAAAATGAGAGAGTACCTGGTAAATCGCTTGGAGATTAGGGGTTGAGCTCCATACTGTAGAGCGAGTAAAATGGAGTAAAGAAAGATTCTCCCGCTCATTTTATCGGCGCTCATGGCGGCATCTTTGGGCCTTTTCTTTGCCGCCGCCGACGCCATCACTGCAACCTCTCGGAGTCTCTTCCGAATTCAATTGGGAAACCGAGAGGGGACGCCGATTTGGTAGTCGTTACGACGTCGTCTCCGCAAGACACCTTGTCCCGCGAAACCGAATAAAGAGGAAGTTGCTGTTTTTACCTCATGCTTAAGGTTTACGACTCGTTTTTACTAAAAATAAAAATAAAAATAAATAATAGAAAATTTACAACTTGTCTTTTGGGATGATTATATACTTTACCCAAAAAAAAAAAACGGCATGCGTTATAGTTAGTAATGACATATAGAAATTTATAGACAAGACAGCTTCAATTTCTAATTTGATCGTGTTCATTCTAATTAGTATTTTAAATTGATTATAGATATTTTTTTCTCAAAAAAATTGATTATAGATATTTGGTCTGATTACAGAGTTAAATGCTATTAAATGACAAAAATAAATCATGAGTGGTTTGGCAGGGAAATAATGAGTTGAGAATGATGTTAGTTAAATAAAATAATATAATGGCTATACAAGTGAGATACAATATATTTTCTCCTATTTTGAGGTAAAATTGGATATTTTTAGAAATCCTCATTTTTACTCTCTTAAATAAAAAATAGATGGGATATAATAAATGAAGTTGTAGATGTATTCCATCATATTCCGATTYAATAATACATGATCATCTCTAATCCCTAATCACTCTATAATGACGAAGAATCCAAATTTGTTAGAGAAAAAAAGTGAATGAAAGTTTTTTTATATTATTCCAGTGAACCAACCAAGAAAAATAATATACTAAAAGATAAAATTACTTCTAATTTCTTTCAGAGGAACTAGTAATGTGGACAACAATTGAAGATACATCTTCTCCTGCCGGGCTTAAAAAGGGAAAGTTAGAGTACCAAGACACATGGAAATACAATTTTGGAGGCCTCTAACATATCACTGGACCGATTCATCTTACGATGAACATGCACAAAAGAGCAAGATGCAAAAATCAATAACTTTAGTCTTTTAACGTCATGAACATCCTTAAATTTAAAATTGTCATCTGAATAATAGTGGCATGAGTTAATTTTGATTTTGAGTTACTTCCAATTTGAATGTCTTGTTTTTTTAAATATTAAATTGTGATATAAACTTTCATTTCTTAAGAAAATAGATTAAGGTTGAACTTGACCATTTGGTTAACAAAATATAAACAAACTTATTTAAAACAGGAATTGAAAAAAAGGCAGCTCCACTATCCCCAAATAATAATGTGCCTATCATATAAATAAACATTATTTGATTCCTCGTAAAGGAGGATGTCATCCCAACTTGAAGCCTTAAGCCCATTGAGCCTCAAATTACTTAATTTAATTTCTATTTTTGTATTGCTTAATAATTATGTTGWTTTGAACTTTTTTATGTTATTTTATTGTAGTAGCTTGTCAATGTGTAGTTTATTAGTATATTCGCTTAACTTAGAGATAATGAGTTCAAACATCATAATGGTCATCTACATGAGATTTAATATCTTACGAGTTACCTACAACTAAATGTAGTAGAATTAGACGGTTATCACGTAAGATTATTCGAGATACGCGCAAATTTGACTCAGACACTCATGAATATAAAATATATAAAAAAAAACTATATTTTGACTATTTAACGAGGAATTCTTTAATTTTTTCAGCACATGAGATATTGAGAGATTCTATCTACCATTTTTTCCCTTTTCTTTTCTCTATAGTTTACAAGCTTCATTGCCAATTTGTATTTATTGTTTTGTATTTCCAGGATTAGAGCATAAGTTTTTTTTTTTTTTTTTCATTCCTGCCCCTTCCCCACTTAAATGAAAAGTATTGTCATTCTAACTTGCTAACAATAAGATATTTCATTTAGATTACACATGTTTATCATTATTTTTTATTAATATAGGCTCATATACTGATAGATTTGTGTGTAGTTTGTTTTTCAAAATAATCTCTACAGATTAGCTAAGGATCGGGATTTACGCATATTTTAATTTATTGTTCATAACCTTATAGTTAAACCATAACAATTTTTAGTTAAAAAGAAAAAAAAGAAAAAGAATCACTCATGACATAATTACTCAAAGAAGCTATATTTAAAAACAATTATGCAAATATATTTGCATTCATCTTTTTTAACTAAATTTCCCAAATCTAAAATATCCTATAGGTTATATACTCGCAGATGTCGCAGATGTCTTTATAAATGTGTATATGTAAATAGATTAAAGTGATGATTATTAAAGTGAGTACATCTCAATGGTGATTGACATATATCCGAATAGGTTGTGAGTTCAATCCTCCACCACACATGTTATACTAAAAGTGATGATTTCGTAGAGATGGTTTATAATGATGTTTGGTTATGAGAGAAAATTAGTATATAATATAATGTCTCAAATAAGGACTCTAAATACCCTATTTGTGACGATAGTTTAATGATATAATAAACATGTTTCACGTCAAAAAAAAAAAAAGAAAGATATATGTGTATGTGATACTTTTACTCGTGGTATTCAAGCTTATATAAGACTCTTACTTAATGTTGATAACTTTTTCCTTTGAAAAAAAAATAAAAAGGAAAAGAAAAACCATTCGTGTTGGATAATATTTTCTAGGTAACCTAACCTAGAGTAGCTACAATTTATCCTGCATTTTTAAGCGTATTTTAGTAGTTAAGATGTAGTCAAATTATCATCTCCTAATAATATGTAAAGTTCCATACATAAAAAAAATTACAATGATTTGTAAATGCTTCCCAATTTGTTATATATATATTTATTTATTTAATCATGGCAAAGATGGAGAATTGAACCATTAAATTTTAGGATGTTAATAGATATTTTATCTACTGATTTATGGTTGAATTGACATGTTTCTTTTTTAGCAAGCAATGCAATCAACAACTAAGCAACAATAGTCAATTGAACATAAATCAACATGTTAAGATATATATATTCAATTAGAAGGTCCCAAGTCCGAATGTATTCTTCGATTCAATATTTCACCAACAAATCGTTGTAAAGAAAAAATATGGGACGGACAGTTGTACTTGATGTTCTCATAATCGAAAATGGTCTTAATCAGCTGAGGTTGACAAGTCCTTGGTATTATTGTTCTTGATCAAATCTTTTTTTTTCTCTCTCTCTTTTTTTACATTTTAGTATCATAGAAAAATTTAAATCGCCTTTTTAACTGATTTCTACAACTGTTGAAGTCTGACACCAATTGCAAGATTTTGACCGGTTTAGATCCCGTGACTGTGGCAAAATATTAATTTGAAATTCCCGAATCCAGGTCTCGTATCAACGGCCGAAACCCTAAGCATTACATAAATTTAAATTGCAGTAATTGGATAGAGAATCTTGTGGGAATTGGGTCAGAATCAACGGCCGGGATCGAAAGCTTTTATAAAGCAGGCAAACCACTGCGATTCCGCAGCCTTACCTTTGATTCTCCATCCCCTTCTTCAGAGTTGAGCTTCTGAGTGGACAGGGGAGCTTCGGTCATGTGTGGAATCCTCGCAGTTTTAGGCTGCGCCGACGGCTCTCAGGCTAAGCGTTCCCGAATCATCGAATTGTCTCGGAGGTCATTTTCCTCACATTTCTTTCTCTGTAATCGCCTTGGTATTTTGACATTGATGCCAATGGAAAATAAGCGTTATGAATGTTTGACAATATAAAAGCGCCGCATTTGTTTTATGATTCCTTTTGTTGTTTGTTCTCTTCCCTCTTCGTCTGAAGTGAAACAGTGGATTATTTTATATTAATTTGTGGGGTTTTAATCTGTTTGGAACTGCAGGTTGCGCCATAGAGGTCCCGATTGGAGTGGTTTGCATTGTTTTGAGAACTGTTATCTTGCTCATCAAAGATTAGCTATTGTAGACCCCACTTCCGGGGATCAACCCCTTTACAACGAAGACAAGACCGTCGTTGTTACAGTAAGGATAAATGGATGCCATTTCTGCAAATATACTTTCTCATATCATTTAATTATGCCGTCATGTCGTTTAATTTTCATTGCTTTTGTTTCTGGTTTCTGAAGAAAAAACTAAGCTTGTTTCAAACATTTGGCAGAAAGACCTGATAATCAGCATCAAGTTTGGTCAAAGTGTGTGAGAATTGATCAAGAACTATTGTTTTTTTATTGTGCACTTTACCGAGTCTGGATAAAATTTACCATATACCGTTTGTCATTTTTAATGATAGTGTGAACCACCAATACAAGTTTATTTGTGGGCATATACATGGTTTGCTTAAAATTTAATGTGTTATAAATTGTTCTTCAATCTTTAATACTTTTTACTGTGTATATAATTGATGATATGATGCTCCCCTTATTTCTCAATGAAGGAACTATTAGGTTTTCCTTAGTACCGAGATATGTTTTGCAATCTTAAATTAGGCTCACTTGTTTATTACGTTTAAATATTGTTTTGTTTAAGACTTTTGATAGAAGCATTTTTTGGTTCCTAGATGGCATACTCTATCTTAAGATTGTGCTGTCTGTATTTACTCTATGTTAGTAACTAATAACTTAGTTAAATTTGAATTTTGAACCATGTACTAGGTTAATGGGGAGATCTACAACCACAAGGAATTGAGAGAAAAGCTCAAGGGTCATCAGTTCCGAACTGGCAGTGACTGTGAAGTGATTGCACACCTTGTTAGTAGCCAAGAACTTACTGAAATAATTTTTCCATGCACCTATGCGTTCCTGCTATTAGTTTGTTCTGTTCTTAACTTAATACTTATCTTTTCCAGTACGAAGAATATGGAGAAGAGTTTGTGGACATGTTGGACGGCATGTTTTCCTTCGTCCTTCTTGATACTCGTAATAAAACTTTTATTGCAGCCAGGGATGCTATTGGGATCACCCCACTATATATGGGATGGGGTCTTGATGGTATGTAATTTCACATTGTATATGTGACTCACAACCTCAAGTTGTAGTGAGAAAACTCTCCAATTGATAATTAGTGTTCATTTATACGTATTACTGCTTACATTTTTACTGATTGTCGATTGATCTCTGAAAATATATGGCTGCTACCTTCTTGCCAGGATCAATCTGGTTTGCTTCTGAAATGAAAGCTCTAAGTGATGATTGCGAGAGATTCATTTCTTTTCTTCCTGGGCATATATATTCTAGCAAAGAAGGTATGCATCTTTTGTTTTCCCGAATCATATGGTTTACTCTACTTTTTTCCAGTTTTCACGAAGAGTAATGTTATAATCCATGAGATTCGTTACTAAATGGTGGATTTTAAATGTTTTTAGGAGGATTGAGAAGATGGTATAACCCTCCGTGGTACACAGAGATGGTACCATCAGGTCCATATGATCTTTTGGTTCTACGCAAGGCATTTGAGAAGGCGTGTTCTGGACTTACACTTATTAGTTTAACATACTATGTCATCTTCTTCGAGGAGTTTTATTTAACACAGTAGTTTTTCAGTTTTAATGTGATGAGATTGCTACCATTGTTAGTGTTTGATGTTTACTGTTTTACAAGGACTTTTATATGAAAACCTGCTGTCTTGCTTGATTGACGAATCATGCAATGTCTCATATGCTAAGATTTTCTGATTTTAAGCTTTCCTCTATATTTTTATGGTGTAGGCTGTTACTAAGAGACTTATGACAGATGTGCCCTTTGGGGTCCTTTTATCTGGAGGATTGGATTCATCACTAGTAGCTGCTGTTGCCTGCCGCCATTTGGCTGATTCTGAAGCAGCTCGTCAGTGGGGGTCACAATTACACACCTTTTGCGTTGGCTTGAAGGTTAGATAATGAGGGAATTAAGCATATATTTTACTTGAAATCGTAAAACATTTTCTTCGAAGGGTAACCCTCGGCCCTCGGTAATAGGTTTTTTCTGTTACATTCTTTTTAACATTGTGGTTGGTTTATTTCTTTGCAAAATTTAATTATTTTTTATAACAAATATGTTGTTTGATGAACGAATGAAATGCTCTACTATTGACATATAATTTTAGTAAATTTTTACATGTAATCATTGAAAGATGAAATTACTTTAAATTAGTGGTTGGAAGCTGTTTAAAGAGCATGCCCCCGAGTGTCTCTACCAGCATATCTGGATTATTGTCATAATCTTAACTTAAGACATGCCTTCATTTTTTAACTGTTCTCTACCAGCATAATTTTACTTGGATATGGGGACTTAATGGGACTTTAAACTGAGTGTTGTTGCCTTCTCCGTCTTATCTGTTTGCTTTTGGAGATTCCCATGTGTTCCCATTCAGTATCATCTAAATACTTACTTTCAGTTTTATTGCCCAACTATTTCTTTTGCGTGAAGAATTGATTTTCAGTTTGGGTTTTGGCACATCCATGCAAAGGCAGTCTCGCACTTGTGTTTTCAAAATTTAACAAGGGATCTTGTCTATGGTGTCAATTAAATTTTTTTTTTCCGCATAACCAAAATTTCAAAGTCTTGAGAAAAGAATTTCTAGAATGGGTTGTTTATTTGTTGCCCCAGTAAATGTTGTATAACTAGACCCCGTTTGATTCAATCATACTTCTGTTGACTTATGTTTGTTACTTTTACTATATCCAGGGTTCTCCCGATCTTGGTGCTGCTAGAGAGGTAGCCGACTACCTTGGAACTCGTCATCATGAGTTTCACTTTACGGTGCAGGTAACTACTTTTTTTTGGGATCAGTTGAAAATCCTTTTTTCAATGTTCACCACCAAAATAATGTGTTTGTGCTTTGTTCCCTTCCATATCAGGAAGGCATAGATGCGCTTGAGGAAGTGATTTACCACATTGAGACATACGATGTGACCACTATCAGAGCTAGCACACCCATGTTCCTTATGTCCCGGAAAATCAAATCTTTGGGGGTGAAAATGGTTCTTTCTGGAGAAGGTTCTGATGAAATTTTTGGAGGTTATTTGTACTTCCACAAGGCACCAAACAAAAAAGAGTTTCATGAAGAAACATGCAGAAA